CCTTAGTGTCATTCACAGTAAATCATATTCTTCTCTGTTTAAAGGGTTGTCTCCCTTGCTCACACACACACATACACACACAGACACACACAGAGGCATGGCCTTCAGCTGTACTATCTGGTATCTGAATCATGGGAATTACAGTCTTATTCCTCTGACACACACACACACACACACACACACACACACACACACACACACACACACACACACACACACACACACACACACACACACACACACACACACACACACACACGAGTAGAGAGACAGAGAAAGAAAGAGAGGCGACTGACTGTCATTCTATTTATCATACATATTCTGCATAAAGCAACATGTGACTTTTTCATTTCTCCATTAGAAATCAATATCCAATCTACGCAACAATGAGCTCTAAATTTAGCCACGAGAGACTGAGAAACAAAGAGGAACAAAGTGAGCAAAGCAAGCTAAAGTAATAGAGAGAGAAAGAGCACAGCTCCATGTAAATTACAATCTTGTTGCATTGAACTGTGAGCAACGGCACAGTCGAAAGAAGGAGGGAATAAAGGGGCGAATGATTAAGTATAAACGCCAGCGCGCTGCCCATATATTAAACATTAACAGCTTCATTTATATGTAAATGACCTGACGGCTACAGAGAGAGACGGCGGGAAGTGACGCCGGTTCAGTGCTGTAGAGAAATAGGGAGCGAGGGATGGGATGAAGAGGACAGGAGAGGGGGATGAGTCTTCTTCATTCAGTAGTCTTTCACATGGGTGGAAAAGTCCACAGTAACCGATTTTTCCCGTACGTGCATGGGTGTGCGTTAAGACAAAAAAGAGAAATCCACGACAGTAACGCACACTCCTATGCACGTGTACACACTCCCAGTTGATGTCCAATGGAGTGAGAAACACACACACATACCTCCCTCACAGGTCTTTCCAAAATGGGGGGAAAGAAGTATCTCCCTGGCAAGAGGGAGAGGAACGAAAGATGATGGCGGTGTGTCTGCTCTCCGAGAGTTTTGTGGAGATGAGGGCAACAAAAAAAAAAAACCTCCAAAGATAATAACACAGACACACAAACCAAGAAGAAAAAAATAACTCTTAGAAGTGTAACAGCAAAAGGTGAAGATGGGAGATTGTTGAGTTAGCGTGGTGTGTCATTTTGCGTGTCGGTGCTAGCTGGGGTTTTATCCGGCTAGCGCTTGGGGTTGGAGGGTCGGCGGACGCTCAGCCGTCGGACACGGGCGGAGACACCCAGCCGTACTTCTCGTGGGTCTTCACCAGGGACTTGAAGGTGGCCTCGGCTTCTTTACGGCTGAACGCTTTCTTGGATTTCCCTGCTTTCCTACATATACGCCCCTGTGAGGAAAGATAAAGGGGGAGGGATGAGAGGGAAATTAAGTTAGCATTTTGTGGAAAAATACAAAATACAGAAGCAAACTGTCCTCTACTGTCCAGAGAGTAAAGTAGCATACAGTTTGCTAATTGCTACTCAATATATATTTATCTTTATATTTTCCCATGATTTGCATATGGGACATCTTGACAGAGGTGTAGCTAACAATAAGGAAACCAAGGTTGTGTCTTTAATAGATGCAGGAATGATCCCTGTAACATGGATATGAGTTAGCATTTTAGTACTCCCGGTTTGCTCATCACAAAGCCAACATTTTTTTGAACGGGTTTTTTCTTAGATGCCTGAAATAAGGACACAAAATACTTAAGTAAGTAGTGTTGGTAAATAGCAGAATCAAGAATGTCTGAAGCTTTTAAAAACAGTCGTAGACAAACAAGTGGGTACATAAGAAAACTCAATGTGATCAAGTCAAACATTAGCTGCCTTTAGCTTAGCAATTGTGGCAATGTAGTTTGTATGTAGCCTACAGCATAAAACTAGCATAATGTTAGGTTTTTACCGCTGGTGATTGAATTCAAATCTCAACAGTTATACAAGCGGTGTTAATGTGGAGATTATCCAAAAAAATCATAAGCCAAGGAGCTTGTCTTTTTACTCAGGGAGCCCTTGCAATGCTAACTGATGTTAACTATGTGTGTCTCTCAGGAGGAAAACCTCCAAATACTGAATGAATTTCCACTAAATCGGATAGACAAACAGGCCCTGAGCCAAAGTACAATTGATTCGATGTTGGCATTGATCTAAATCAAGGAAGCATCTCTGCCATTAAGTGATTCATGTATTTCTGCTTTCCTTAATTATGACATTAATAGAAATTGAGGCTTAATTCCAAATCTGAAGGTCAGTTTACCAGACAGCAAAAATCTACAGCCTCCATGTGCAGAATTTTTGGGGTGACTGCAGCATCTATTTAAAGCTGCAATTAGTCATTATTGACTAACCTGCCGATAATGTTCCTGGTAAATACACTAAATGTATGGCCTGTGGGAACAACTAGCCATCTCTATTATCTAAATGTCATGGTGACATCTGTAAAGGTCTTAATTTGTGTGATTAACAGTCCAAAACCCAAATGTATTTAATGTACAATCATATAAAGTCATTACACCAAACACGCTGCTACCAGACATTTTCAACACAGTGGTTTTAAGTAGAAGGATATTCATTCTTAATTTTCACGTCTTTCAGCATAATGACATCACTTTCTGTGTCAAAAAGAAGAATATTTTGGGTGAAATTTAAGAAAAAGTATATCATGTCATTTGACTGATCTGGATGTGCTCTAAAAAGAAAGATGGCTTTGGTTGTCATGATTGGTCTTGTCAAAATCACAGACAATGTATAGAAATTCAGAGACACAGCCCACAAGTGCACATGAACCGACTAGCTGGTGAATGCACGGCCGCAGGGGAAACGTTGACAAGACAAGTGGTCTGAATGCAGGCTGACCAGCATTAGATCAATGTTTAAAAGGCAGCGAACGGGCTTTTAAAATGTCACGTCCAATCACAAGCGAGAATAAAACCTCCACCACAACGGGGCAATGGGGAGATAAGTGAAGACCCAGAAGCATCCACTGTGCTAAACGATGAAAGGCTTGTAAATATGACAGAAAATAAATATATGAGCATGTAACCCTCAGTGTGAAAAGCATCTCACTCAGAGCACCGTGACATCTCACAAAGAGACGTTTTCACCCAGGCACCACCTTACTAAATCCCCTCCTCCCTACTTCACACACTGGAGCTAATAATAAGTGTGGGATGACAGGGGGGCAAAGAAAAATGGAGAAAAGAGGAGTGGGTGTGAGGATAAAGCTGCTTATTCTGTCGTTGCCAGCAGTGCCAAGTCTTCCCCTTAAGCAGAGTGTGTGGGAGGATGAATAGAAAAAGGAAACAACTGTCTTCACATATAAACACTCAGACAGCCGTGACAGAGGTGTGATTCATATGAACGTCAAGACTGTTGAAGTACATTTATAGAAATCTACTCCGAATCACAGACACATCACAATTCGGAGGATGGTTCTGACTGCACAGTATGTCTTTGGTAACTCTGCAGTTATCTTCTGTAGGACTGCAACTAAATGTTATTTCATTACAAATTAACCTGCCAATGATGTTTGGATGAATCATTTGGTCTAATTAAGTCCAATGTGATGTCTTTAATGTCTTGTTTGTCAATCCAACACCCAAAGATATACATTTGATATGATATTAAAAAAGAGAAACACAGAAAATGTCCATATTTGAGGCATTTAAAATGGTGTTTTCTGCTATTATTGCATGAAAAAACACTGGGGGAAATTGAATGGGTTGTTCCAATTTAGAATTAAATAAATAAAAGGTAAAAATTATATATATATTTATATAAACATAAGAAGTTAGAAGTAAGAATGTGCAATAAAAAGATAAAATAAATACAAACACAATAAGTTAAATGTCCAATAAAGTATGACAAAATAATAAAAATATGTATATAAACACAAGAGGTTAAAGGTCAAATGTGCACATTGTACTACAATATATAACATGTTAAGAAATGACATTACAGTGGTGCATTAGTATTAATAAGATATCAATGCAAGCTAAAGAATTGTTGGGAAATGTTTTTCTGTCGACTCATTTTTTCTCCTAACTATTCGCTCTACTTTGTTGGTACATCGTGTTTGTACCAGTTCTGTAACATTGCACCACTTCCCTCGACCCGGGACCTTTCTTGGCAGGAAAATAATGGCACAAAGGCCACTCCACTGAAACCAATACTAATGGAATTATTTTAGATGGTGAGCTCCTCTGCATGCTGCACTGCAGATAAATACCCTCATATTGTCACACATCCACGATGTGCTCTTTTAATCCTGCAGCTAAACTTCCGTCCTGTTTTCCAGGAAGAAAACGCCGGATAAATACATCCATTATCCCGCTGCAGAAGATCAGAGGGTCAACCACTGTTATGTAGTCTGGTACACAATGATGAACTTATAAAGCGGTTTCATTCTCCAGCTGCTGCATAAAGATGTTGTTTGACATTTTAAGAAGTATTTGACACAATTCTCATATCTGTATGAGAGGTAAATAAAGCTACAGCTGTGTTAGCTTAGCATAAAGACTGAAGATAGGTGGGAAAAGCTCGCTTGGCTCGGTCGAAAGGTAAGAAAACTAGCCCCCATTAAACTCAAACTAATACAGTTATCATGTAGTCATCATCATCATCTTAGAGGCATGTTCTTATTTCTTAAGCCACAGAGAGATCAAATGGGACTATGTCTCTCGGAAAATACTTTACTGTTTATTTTCAATGAAATGTTTCAAATCTGTCAACACCACAAACACAATATCTATTCACCCCCTGGGCTGGGTCTTGTCAGAAATCTCAGAAATGTTAGCTAAAAACCTGGACACGTTAAACCATTTACAACTAAATGGATTGGATGGTTAGATCCAACAATAAAACGCATTATTTTCAAAGCAAATACAAACAAAATGGATGAACTATTTCAGGAGTGTTCTTCTACAATTGTCTTGCAACACGTATCAATCATTAGCTCGTTAAATGCATACAGTCTTTTTAAAATGTACACCTGTTTACAGGAAACAAGGTTTGGGCTATGATAACCACGGAAATGTAACGTGACTACTGAAACAACATTAGGGTTAAAACAACTACTGCAGTGCAATGCCTTCAACTACCTTTGTTTAAAAACTGAGAAAGACTAAATAAAATATTCAGATGAAGATTAGAGAGATTAGACAACTTTAGCTTTATAGCAACATTAGTTTAAGGATAGCATTGGTGCTATTTGACTAAGCTTTTCCCTTTATCGGAGAGTTGATTTGCATTTTGTCTATCCAGCGTTTATTCTCTGCACCCATGACATCTGATGGATAATCAGTACGTCCTACTGCGTACTGTCTCTGCTATTTTGGGTCGAAAGTGGTGCCAGGGATAAATGAAGATGAAGTGATAACGTTGAATGATCTGGAGATTAGGGTTACAGTTTCCATTCCTGTAGCAACACTGGCCTCGTTTCACTGCAGGGCTTAGACACACTCAGTGTGTCTCTCTCAAACAGTTACACATGTTTGAAGAGCCTGTCCTTTCCATTGGATGTTAATCAATTTAAGGGCCTTGCTATAAACAAAGACAAGTGTATTTGATGCATGACATACTTCTAATGAAGTCAGACAACTTTAGAAAGGCAGGAGGCAATAATCTGGTTTCATCCATATTGTCTTCATTAATGCTTTTACACCATTGTATATATTTTAAATACATTTGTACATATTTATTGCTGTTATATATTGTGGTACAACGTGCACATTTTTACATAAATGACTATGATAATAAAAAGGTTTTTATTCTATGTTATGTTATCTTATGTGCACATCATTTTCCCCAGGGATAAAAAAGGTTTACGGATTTCTGTTTATATAAATCTTTTGTACTTTTTAATTTTATCTACGCATTCAACATTTGAACTTTAACTTCATTTAAATAAAAAGGTTTTATTCTATTGTATTTTATCTTTGTAGTTTTGTATTTTATTCTAAAATGGAGCAAAACTGTCCCAAAATCTAATTTCTCCCCTGGATAGTATTCTGATTTGATCTCACCTTTAGTAAGAAGACAATGAATTATTAGTGGAAGTTGATTTGCACTGGAAACTAGAAAAAAACGTTCCCTTTGTTTGGCAGGTTTTTCAATTGTTTTGAGAAAGTCAATGGAGGAAAACAATAACTGACTCATTCAGGTAGATACATGCAGCGTTCCTCTGGGACTGGCCTTGAGTCCCAGAGCATTTTGAATGGAAAACAAACCAACTGGGTGTCACCATGAGGCGCTGCATGAAAACCTGCCCCTCCTCTGGCCTGTGATACAGATTACTGAGGCTGACAGATAATGCACTTTGTTGTTTGGCTACCGTCGCAAAGCACTGGGGGAAAGCTGGGAGATGTTGTTCTCTTCTCAAAATCACAAGCAACGTATAACCATATATCTCCACATGCTGCCATATGGTTGCCGTCATTACCTTAAAATGGCGCTTGCTGCAATGGATATCGTTCAGGCAATTAGCAATTTTTTAAGAGGTGCTAAACAGTGATAGAGGAAGGGAGTGTACCATTTTCTTTTTTTATCATTGAACAAATCGCAGAGAGCAACCTTTGTGTTTTTAATTTCACATTGATTTGATTTTAATTTCACATTGATTTGATTTGAATTTCACATTGATTGTAACCTATGAATGGAGCATGTGGCATAATATGCAATGATATCTTTGAATATTGCAATAACAATATAACTTGCAATAAATAAACTGATCTTGTAAACATCACCCAAACAAAATAGCTTATCTCTGTTTACTTCATGTTTTTTTGTTTATGGTTAAATATATTGTTTGCTTGGATGATTTCTCAATTTGTTGTTGATGTAGTCTTAGCTAAAAAGGGTACTTATTCAGAGTTTCCATTGAAATTATTTTATGGAACAAATGTAACCTTTAACTTAAAACACGAAACTCAAATAAAAAAAGGATGACGTTTTAAAGTGCCGTTTTCTACTGATACTTTTAACAATACCATAAAAGGGGAAGAGAGAGTGTGTGAAAGAGGGGAAATACGCACAAATCTCCCAGAAAGTCCACGTCTTCAACATGAAAAGATTAAATTGAGCATTAATTAGCGCCATTGTGGTCGCACACATCTACAAGAATGGCTCGGTGTGCCAAAGATGGACGGACAGAGTAATTAAAAATGTGTGTGTGTGTATTTAGCCGAGCGCCCCGGGCCTATACAGTGCCATGTCAGTGTTTATCTATTTCAGCTAAGCGCTCGCTCGTTGAGAGGTACACACTCGTGTAAAGTGGCTGCTGGGTAATCGTGTGAATGGAGATCAGTCAATGGGCAGAGGAGGGAAGGCCCCAGTGCATGCTGGGAAGCAGCTCTGTGGGCTAGAGGGTTGGGGTGGGGGGGGATTACATAACCAAGGCATGTGCTTAACGGGGTCGAATAAACAAACAGGGATCAATGTCATCATCCTCACTCATCAGATCATTGAGGAGCGCTGTGGAGGGGTCATCAAAGGATAACTCCACCGTGTTATTAATGCCTCATTTTGTGTTAGATGTTTAGTGTATCGTCTGCTGTCTGCACACTGTCCACAACACAATACTTTCATTCATCCTGGTGCAGTTACAATGAACTCCGATTGAGTGTAAGAAAAAAAGAAAACCCTAATGACGGCATGTGGGGGAATCTCGGTTTTGGCTTAGACATTTTTTACAGAAAGTCTGCTTTTAAGAGGCATTGAGTAAAATACTATCCAGTTGCACTATGGGTAATGTAGGATCCAGTGTTTTTAAACGCTTAACCTATACTGGGGACAAAAAGTTGTGACGTCTCAGTGTCTTTTCTTTCAATTCAAATTTTGATCTTTCACTTGTGAGTCCCTACATTTTAAAAAATACCCCTTTAATCAGTTTTGATTAGAGTAACTGACAATCCATTTCATTATCTTTGACTCTATTAATCATAGCGTTTATAATATTGATTGTTGAGTCAATGTAAAAAATGTTTTTTTTTAATTTCAGATTCAAATTGGGAAGAAGCAGCAATGTACAGTAACATTTAAGAAGGTTGGTACCAGCATATATTTGGGTTTTCTTCATCAACTATCACTATTATTCTTCATTTCACAGCTGATGTCACACAACACAACTGAATTATACGCGATGAATGTCTAAAGACTGTAACTTACGTCAATGTGAGCTCAAGAAAATGACAGTTTCAAGAAATGAATAGCAAAGAAATGTCTGCAAAAAAAAATCCAATTAGCCTTGCTTTCCTAACATATCAAAAAGAATAACCAGGAGTACTAAACACTGCTTTACAGACAACAATTCAACAGAGATCAATTATCCAACTGTCTAACACTATGAATAAACCTTCATCCAACAAGATGCCGCACAAAACCACAGTTTTTTCCAACAACCTGCATGGCACACGAGGCTTAAATTACTGTCATAAAAGATTCCATCGTGCCATAATGGTGATCACCTTCAGTGCCTCCTTCCTGTCACCTCACCCTGTGTGCTTGTGTGAGTGTTTCCCTCAGAGGTGAAGACACGTGGGAGTTACGTTGACTTTCCCTTCAACACTTTGTCACGGCGTGTATCCTCTCACACTAAAAATAGGCAGGGAGCTTCTAAACAAGCCACATCACTATTGTCACAGCAAACTGGTGCCCAAGGATGAATAAATATACTCTGTGTGTATGAAGGGTTACATATAGCTCTGCGTCTGCCCTGATGAATGAGAGACGGGTGCATCTCCTGCAAAATTGGGACACAAGCTAGAGGGAACATATGCAAACGAGGCAAACAATGAGATAAAGAGCTGCACGCACACATACAAGCGCACACAGGAATAATTAATCAATATTGTTTCCATTAGCAATCTGGAGAGGGAAGACACTGCACCATAATTAGGGAGCACTGCGGAGCTGCTCATCTCCTCAAGCAGCAAATCAAGAAGAACACACACACCGACACATGTCTCTCTCTCTCTCTCTCTCTCTCTCTCTCTCCCTCCCTCTC